ACCCCATGGAGGGAGGTAGCCAATCTGATGTCTTGGGAAGGGAATTCCACAGACGGGGAGCCACTGTTGAGAAGGCCCTGTCTCTTGTCTCCACCAGTCGCATTTGCGACGGCGGTGGGATCGAGAGCAGGGCCTCTCCAGATGATCTTAAACTCCATAATGATTCATAGCAATAGATGTACTCTGTACCAGAACCATTTACACTTGATGTAGTTTCGTTGTAACTTGTAGTGGTTAGTTAGCTGGTGGATTCCGACAGAATACTGATGGGATGGGGCAAATGTCATGTGATGAGACCTGCTCGAAATCATTCTCAAACAGTCTCAGAAACAGAGTATTTCCTAATGTGGTAATGTCTGCAGAAAGCTCCAGCATGCAACCCTTTCTTACACAAATAATGTAGCATCCAGGATCGTTTCCGTTAGAATTCTCTCCCCTCTGTTGTTTAACATTTATATGCGACCACTTGCTCAGCTAGTTTGAGGTTTTGGGCTTGAGTGTTACCAGTACATTGATGATACTCAGCTTGTACTGAAGATGGAAGGCCGACCAGACTCTGTACCCAATTATTTCCATCAGTGCCTAGAGGACGTTACTGGACGGCTGCGTGCCAGCAGGTTGAAGGTGAATCCAGCAAAGACGGAGATCCTATGGCTGGGTCAACCGGGCAGTGGGGATACCCAGCTGCCTACCCTGGATGGTGAGGCGCTACGCCTGTCATCATTGGTAAAGAGTCTGGGAGTCCTTTTGGACCCCCTGCTGACGATGGAGGCCCAGGTCTCCGCCGTTAGCAGAACCGCCTTTTTTCACCTGCGGCAGGCTAGACGGCTGGCCCCCTACCTGTCCAGGGATGACCTAGCTATGGTGATCCAGGCTACGGTAATCTCAAGACTGGACTACTGTAACGCCCTCTACATTGGCCTTCCTCTGTCGGTGATCTGAAAGCTCAAGTTGGTACAAAATGCAGCTGCTCGGCTTATTGCGGGAATTCCGATGAGATGCCACATAACACCAATCTTACTACAGCTGCATTGGTTACCAATTGAGCACCGGATCACTTTCAAAGTGATGGTACTCACCTTTAAGGCCTTGCATGGTCTGGGGCCGATGTACCTTAGGGACCACCTCTCCCCCTACCAACCCCAGAGATCCCTCTGTTCTGAGGACCAAGATTTGTTGGAAATTCCCAATGTCAAGACCTTGCGTCTAACAGCAACTGGACGCAGAGCCTTTACATCAGTAGCACCATCAGTCTGGAATACTCTGCCACCTGAAGTCCGTGCCTTGCGGGATTTATCAGCTTTCCGCAGGGCATGTAAGACATACCTGTTTCGACAGGCCTTTGATCTTTGATATTGCTGTTTTTAAATTGTTTCAAATTGTTTTTAAATTGTGTTAGATTTTAGCCTGTTCTTGTAAGCTGCTCCGAGCCCCAGGTGAGTGGCGGCATATAAGATTGAATAATAAATAAATAAATAAATAAATTTGTTTCTAGGGAAAAACCTATATCTAGCAAAGCTGATTTACTTATAGTGTTTCACTTTAAAAAAGCCTGCTAGAGCGATCACTGTGAACAAAATTCATACACAAGAAAACAATCCAATCTCTGCCGTTATCAGAACCATTCTAAAGCTGGAGTACAATTCCTAGTTAAGCTTGAGAAAAAATGTGGGTATAATTACTAGGAGATTCTGAAAATTGTAGCTCAAGAAAGTAACTTCTCCAAGCGCCAGTTCCTAACACAATGCCTGCTCAGAGAAACAATGGGGTGGGCAAGGAGAGAGTACCACTTTAATGAGTCACATTCCTTTCCAGCAAACACAATCCAGTCGTGGACACAATCTGGAATGTAAGCTGTGGATTTAATCAGCTGTCACCAGGGCATATCCCTGGAAATAGAGCTTACATTGCTACAACAACGCAGACTTGGGTCAGCAAGTTCTGACTTGGCTTTTCAAAAGCTGCTTTGTTTATTTAAACTGCGCTAGACATATGCTTGCACTAATTCGCTCAATATTTATTATTTAACTTGCTCTCAAAATGGTCACCACGAAGAACCACAAATGCATCTAAAGTGTGCACTCATTTTATCTTAAAAGTATCCTATCACCTTATAAACATGACTGCTTTATATTTTCTCTCTGACAAGACAAAAAAAGTTATCCCACCATAGTCATCATTAACAAATGTAAAACATGGTCCCATTCCTGATGCTTTGAAAGTTCCCCTGATGCCACACCTGACATGGGAGTATTTTGCTTAGGACTTTTAAAATACGAGGGTTGAATGAAAAGTAATGCCTCCACCCTCGTTACTTGGGTTTGGATGGGAATATTTTAATAAAT